GCGACAGTGACGGCAGCACCGCGGTCTCCCACACCACCTCCCCTCTTTTGCTTCTTCTTGTTGTTGCGTGTGCGGCTGCTGCTGCGGTGGTGGCCGCGTGAGAGTGAGGGAGAGAGAGCCGTGCACCGCCCGCACACACACTCGTCCTTCTCTCTCTGTGTGTGTGTTCCCTTGCATGGACTCTCGCCCTCACCTCACCCCACGAAGCACACACATAATGTGCCCATTGTATATATTGCATGCACACCCATGCAGGCCCGTTGGTGCTCTCTTTTGCACCACACGCACCGCTGCCGTCCTGCCTGGCCGCATGGGCGGAGCACCGTAACTGTTTCTGTTTTTGTTTTTATTGCATTGAGTGGGCGACCTCTCTCTCTCTCTCCCTGTGTGTGTGTTTTGCTTTACGGGAGCAATGAGAGTGTGTGCGCTAGTCGTCCCACGCTTCGGCTTTTTGGTTTTTATTGTTTTACTTGTGTTGTGGTTGAGTGCACCTTTTCCGCACTTTCTCGATTGGCAGTTTGATTTGACCTTGGAGACTTGATTTTTTGCTTTTGTTTTTTTATTTCTTTTTTTTTTTTTTCTTGCTGAGTGAGTGTCAGCCTCTTTTATTCCTGTCAAGCCAATTAGCTTTTCTTTGCATACGCCGTGCGTCAGTTGATCAATGTCACTCCACGGCCTCCAGCGCTGCTTCTTCTGTTTGTGACGATATCTGCGTTGTGATGTGTCAGCGGTTGCTTTTTTGTCTCCCTGAAGTATTCCTGCTTCTTTGACGATGTGGTCTCCTCCGACGGCGGGGTCGATCCCGGTTACGGTGAGGAAAATGCATCTCAGGGCGCTGGATTCGTTTCAGGTGTGCGGCGGCGTCTGGAAGGACCCATGGGCGCCCGTCCGCATCAAGGCGTCAACAACAGACCCGTGTGACAGCATAAGGCACTGCGGCTTCTCCTGGTGTCACGCAATGAATTCATTGAATGACAACCGCCACTTTGAGGACGGTGTTCTATCCTCTGCGCACGGTAATATCCTTGCCGAGGAGACTGTCCCTGCTGCTGTGTAACTGCATGCGGATCGTCTGCTCGTGCAGCCACTGTAGGGTCCGCTGACTGTGTACTCATTTGCCGCGGGCAGCGTTTGCAGTCGGTTCACGGTGCCTGATGGGCATTGTTCCACTGGTGTTGCCGATTCTGACACAGTGTTGTACGTGGCTGCTGCGCTGGGTGGTGTGTGGGCACTGCCGTGAGCCACGCTGGAGGATGGCCGTCCAGTCGCTGGCGTCATGCACATTGCCTGTCAGTTTCATTTCACGGACGCTTCGCCACCCGCATCGCCGCGCACTTGTTGGCCCATGCTGTCGGGTTCAACTGCCCGCACATGGCAAAGTGCAGCACGGTGAGGAATGCTATTGGTGTGCGTGGCAGGGCGCTGTCGGTGGTGGTGCACTCGGTGAATTCCGCGATGGCTGCGAGGGAGCACCAAGACTGCGACGAAATTGATGGCGTGGAGCTGCAGGATGACGATGGGGAAGGGAGGACGCTGGAGTCGCACTGGGAGATGGCGGAGCCGATGCGTTGGTGCAGGGATTCGGGCTGTGAGCTGCTGCAGAGGAAGTGCTCCGCACCGAACATGAGTGAATATTGCTACATGGTCTGCGACGTGGGTGTCCCTGTCAAACGCTGCGCGTCGGACCGGTATTCCCGCGGTTGGTATTTGGGGAGCATCCATGAGATGTCAGCAAAACACTCGATGGGCCGTTGCCCCATCACTGATCCCGCACTGGATGTGAGGGATATTGAGGGTGTTATTTGGAGGGGAAAATATTTTTCCGCGGTGCCCGGGGATGAGCCCTCTTCGTGGTGACTGGACACGCTTCCCAACAACACGACGGATGCGAGGGACTCGGAGGAGACATATTTCAGTGCTGCAGCGCATGCGGCATTGAGGTGTCGCGGCATGTAAGTGCATCTGGAAGTGATTGAAAAGGGTAACGTCCGTTGTTTCCCATGCACGGACGGGGCGACGATTGCGTGGGCCGCTCCACCCTACGATGAAGGGGACCGTTATTTGCCGTGACCACGCGCAGGTGTGCACGATATCCGCCACCAGCGGTAGCCCACTTCCAGTGGTCCCGTGGGACGGCGAGGAGAGGGCGTGTGGAGCAGGACGGTTTCACCGGCATCTACTGAACAAGGATTGCCAGGGGCATCTGTCCCCGTTGCGGAGAGCATTGAAACCGGCCGCGGCACACCACCGAAGGATGTAGACACGGCTATTCCCCAGAAGCATCCGTCGCCAGAGGAGAAGAAAGTCGCCTCAGGTACCACGACGGGCGACGGGGTGATCTTGCCCAGCGACACCGCGGGTGCGCCGCAGGAGGCGAAGAAGAAGAGCGATCTTCCGGACAACGACGATGTGGCCGCCGATGGTGTGACTTCTTTTGTGGGACAATCCACCGGAGATGAGGCCGTGAGCAACAAGGCCAATGGCAGTGCCACATTCACGAAACCCAAGAGCCCTGGTGCCGCTGATGACGCGCAGGGCGCCGTGGCAACACTCCGCAGAGGGAGGATGACGCAGCGGTGGGGCGCGGGGGTTGGGAGGCAGACATGAAGTACGCCTCGCCTTCGATCCACGGCAATAACACTGCTGCTGCTGCTGCTTGTCCCTGTCCGCTGCTGCCGCCGTGCCGAAACTCTATTGAGTGGCTGCATGGATGCCGCTGCACGACGAGGCGACTGCGGTTGCGTCCTGCGTGGTCCGCACTCAGCAGTGGTTGCAAGAGAGAAAAGCCTATATCAATTGGCATTTTCCTCTCAGTACATACATTTATGTGCTCTGCTTGCCTGTATAATTTTTACCGGTGAACAGTTGTATACACTCTTTCTCTTTTGTGTTGGTTGCTAATGTGGCGACACCACGCGTGTTTTTAATGGGTTTTGGGATAACAATTTGTTCGACTTTTTCTGGAGAATACTTTGGGTGCGTGTTCTTGTGCGAGGGATCTGTGTGGGTTTTGATTTTTTATTTTTATTTATTTGCTTCGGCATTGTGTAATGATACTTCGCTTTTCCCATTATTTATGTTTTGGTGTGTGCGGTAAATGAATTGTGTGGAATAGCAAAACATCGGTGCGTGGCGTGTTGCTGTCCTGTGGTGTGCTTGCTGTTGCGGTGGCATAGTGTGGTGCTCGTTGTATTACTCCTGTTGCGTTTGTTTCTGAAGTGTTTCTAGGGCACCGGGAGTGGATGCCTGTGGACGCAACCGTGCATTATGCGTGGCATCGGTGGGAGGGGAGACTGACATAGTTGGCGGGATTCAGTAATTCGCATTTTTGTCCACGGACCCTGCAGCTGCACCAGCCTGAGTGGCGCTTTGCATATGGACGTGTGGATTGGTTTCATTTTGTGAGGCTTTTTTACTGCGTGTCATTTTCCGCTCGGATACCGTGCCCGTGGCAGCTGCGGCGGCATCAAAAGAGCCGTGTGTGTGTGGAGAGTCCTTGATTGAGTACCTGCCTTACTTCTCTGTTATGTCAATTGACTGTTCCGTGTGCCGGCCAAACGCTTGACGTGAAGTGCCGCCGACGGAGGGGTCCGCGTGACATGATGTTGCGTCGCGTGCTTCAGCGCGGGTGTGTAATTTCAGCAACGGTCGTTGGGCGGTTGCCTGTTGGGTCGTTGAGGGTGGCGTGGCGACGGGTGCGGATGGACCCGATTTTGTGCCGTGGCTGTTCGTGCGAGGGAGCCGCGGGAAGGAGGAAGGCGGCGGAGCGATGGACTCCCGAGGAGTGCGGGGGCGAGCAGCCATGAAGGTTGGCGACAGGGTATTCACTGCCCTGTGAGTTGCCGTGTGTGGTGTTTATTATTATTATTATTTGCGTGTTGGATGTGGCCGCTGTGGGGGAAGAATTTTTTTTTGCTTTTTTTTCACGCCGGCTTGGCATCCTTTTCTGCGCCGTCATCTCTGTGTTCCTGCCGCACCGTGGCGTCCTCTTTCCTTTCCATTAGGGGCAGCTGCGTGTGGGTTTCAAGTGCCATGGAGTTGTGCGCCGTGCTGTCCGGTGTTTCATTGTAGCCTGTTATTCCTGCGTGCACGCGTCTCCCATGCTCATTACAACAGCCCTCATGTAATTACCCCTTCTTCTCCATGCTGCTGATGCGTCTGTGTGTTCTTCTCATCCTCCTCTCTTTGCCCTTCCCTAGACTGTGTGTGCAGCCGTGATGATGATGATGACTGGCCGTATGCTGTTGCTATTTGCCCTCTGTGTGCTGTGGTGCGGTGCCGGCGGTGGTGGATGTTCTGAAACAGCTCCAGCTTCTCCGGGTACTCCGTCCGACAAGAACACAGAAAAAGACGAAAACACCGTCGTTGGTGGCGTTGGAGCAGTTGACCAAACCGGTCAACAGGCAGCGTCACAAGCAGCAGCATCATCATCGGTGCAAAACGCACGGGGAGCGGAAGCGGAATCGGCACAACAAACCGGAGCACAAGCATTAGGAACGGCAAATGCAACGACGGAAAACAACAATGACACAACGAAAACAGGGGAAAATGAGAAGACGAATCAGGATACTAATGAAGATGATGATGAAGAGGAAGAGGAGGATGAAGAGGAGGATGAAGAGGAAGAGGAAGAAATGGAAGAGGAAGAGGAAGAGGATGATGGCAATGAAGAGGAGGATGGAGGAGAGGAGAAAAAGCAAGAAGAAAAAGATGATACCAGCACTACAAAGAGGATTTCGGCAGGCGGTCAGGAAGAGCCAATTTTATCTTCTCGTGTGGAGGAAGCATCGAATAAAACAAAACCCCAAAGCACTCAAACAACTGGCGACAAAGATCCAGCAGCTGATGGTGCAGGGACGCAAGAAGAAAAACAAAATGAAAATAAAGAAGCCAATCCGAAGGAAACACCAGTCGCAGCCACAGTAATAAAAACCACAACGGCGACGACTGGCGACAGTGACGGCAGCACCGCGGTCTCCCACACCACCTCCCCTCTTTTGCTTCTTCTTGTTGTTGCGTGTGCGGCTGCTGCTGCGGTGGTGGCCGCGTGAGAGTGAGGGAGAGAGAGCCGTGCACCGCCCGCACACACAGTCGTCCTTCACCCACTCTCTGTGTGTGTCCCCTTGCATGGACTCTCGCCCTCACCTCACCCCACGAAGCACACACATAATGTGCCCATTGTATATATTGCATGCACACCCATGCAGGCCCGTTGGTGCTCTCTTTTGCACCACATGCACCGCTGCCGTCCTGCCTGGCTGCATGGGCGGAGCACCGTAACTGTTTCTGTTTTGTTTTTTATTGTAATTTTTTAATTTTTTTTTTTTTTTTAATTTGCTTCTGCTATGAGCGTTTATCCATTTCTTACTACCCCATTCCTTTTTTTTTTTTTTTTTAGCTTTCGGGGGCAATCACTATGGACGTTTTTTCTTTTCTACTCTTCCCTCTTTTAATTGTTTTTTGCTGCACTCTTCCTGTGAGGGGTGCCGTGTGTTTCCCGCCCAACTGCTCCACTCGCACACCCACCGACACGCTCATGACGACGGCCCTGTGCGCCTCGCCTGCTGCACGCATGAGGAGGGGCCGCGACGAACGGCGCGCTGAGGGAGCCGTGACGTGTGGGCGTGCGACGAGGGCCTGTGGGGCGGAGCACACATTTCTTTCCCTCTTGTTTTGTTTTCTTTGCGGCCCGGGCGGGCAGACACCCGCAGCGCCACACACACAGCCACACCCTGCCGCCGTGTTTTTAAGATTTTTTGCTTTGCGTGTGCATTTCTCGCGCCGGCAGTCCCTTCGCTGTCGGCCTTGTGAGCATTTCTTTTCCCTCCTGATGATTTTTTCTTTTGCTGCGCTCACTCTCCCGATGGAGTGACGCGACTGCCGTCATGTCTGCGTGCTTCTCTCAGTCCCCACACACACGAAGAGTGACTGTGCTCTGCGGGCCGCACTCACACGCCGATGAGAGGGCTGAGGGGAGCAGCAACACGCAGATGACCCCATGAAATATAAACGATGTGCGGACACATGGAGGGTCGGACGGTTGAAAGACATTTAAATATCTTTTAATTTTTATTTTTACGGGCAAAATATGCAGACAATTTCTGGAGCAACGTGGTAGTTAGGTGCTTTTTGTGTGTGTGTTTTTTTCTTTTTTTTTTTTTTTTTAATTTGGGTGTAGCCTTAGTAGAGGACTACTTTTTTTTCATTATTTTCATTTTTTCTTTTTTCCAAAGTGTGAGGTGTGGAAAGGTGAAGATGAATTTTTTATTATTTATTTTTATTTAATTTTTTAATGAATGGCCGCTGCTTGGGCTGCAGTGCAATATTGTGAGCCTGAGCAGTTTTTTTCTCTTTATTTCCGCCATGCACCTCTGCTGTACGTTTTTGTTTGTGCGTCCCCTCACATGCTCCGCTCCTGTTTTTACTTCTTTGCCTCGTGTGTCTGCAGGCAAACACACAACCACATGCACGCACAAAATGCACATTTCATTCGATTTGGATGCTTCTTTTGTAGCGTGTGCTGGCGGTTGCGGGTGGCTGCTGCTTCCTCCGTGGCCATGAAGGGAAAGAGGAGAGAGGAAGCGCGCACGGCGAGTCACTCTTCCTGCGGGTGTGATGCACCGCCTGTGACTGCTGTGGAGGGCCGCCTGAGCTATCGCGTGTGTGTGTGTGTGTGTGGGCGTGGAAAAGGTGTTCTGTTGCCAGTGCTGAGGCTCAGCATGAGAATTATACTTTCAGTGGCTTTGATGTGCGCATGCATGGCAGGAATGGTGAGCTGGGTGCTGTGTGCCATGTGGCCAATGCGGTGCACACATGTAGCAACTGTGCTGCCAGCTGTGCAACGAAAGAGGAAGAGGCCACCGTTGCCTTCACGATGAATGGGACGACACATAAATACGCCGGCCCTTATGAATTGTAGTGGCGTCAATTTTCCTCTCGATGGAACCATCCATCCGCCTGCACGGAGCAGCGATGCTGACTGGACGGGCATCTGTCAGTTGCCGCCACCCCGTGAAGGGAAGGATGACACAAAGTCTGGTGGGACAACTGCGCCGCAAGTTCATGCTGAGCCGTCACGTCAAAACGAGGATTCAAGTATCCGCAGTCAAAGCAAACTGCCGATCAAAAAAGGTGTAATGGGTGCACTCAACCACAACACAAACAATGAAAAAAAACAAGAAGCCGAAGCGTGGGACGACCAGCGCACACACTCTCATTGCTCCCGTAAAGCAAAACACACACACAGGGAGAGAGAGAGAGAGGTCGCCCACTCAATGCAATAAAAACAAAACAGAAACAGTTACGGTGCTCCGCCCATGCAGCCAGGCAGGACGGCAGCGGTGCGTGTGGTGCAAAAGAGAGCACCAACGGGCCTGCATGGGTGTGCATGCAATATATACAATGGGCACATTATGTGTGTGCCTCGTGGGATGAGGTGAGGGCGAGAGTCCATGCAAGGGGACACACACACACACAGAGAGAGAAGGACGAGTGTGTGTGCGGGCGGTGCACGGCTCTCTCTCCCTCACTCTCACGCGGCCACCACCGCAGCAGCAGCCGCACACGCAACAAGAAGAAGAAGAAGCAAAAGAGGGGAGGTGGTGTGGGAGACCGCGCTGCTGCCGTCACTGTCGCCAACCTTTTCCTTATTTACACTTTGGCGTTTTTCCGTCTGTGCAGTATCGGAAGGTTGAGAATTCTCCACAGTAGTCTTTTCAACGGATGTTTCCTTCTGAAGTGGGGAAGAGCTGTCATTTGAAGATGTCGCTGCTGCTTGTTCTTGACTGCCAGTTGATACACTCTCCGCAGCGTCCGAAGTGGATACAGGATCCTCGTTATTTCCCTCTTGTTTTGCAGGTGAATCCGTGGATGCACTCGTGTTCTGTCTGCCATTCTTCTCTTTTTCTGGATTCGTTTTTGGATGATCAGTTTTGGGTTCCGGCAGAGGTGCGTTTGATAATTCCGGTAAGGCTTTTTCTTTTTCTTGTAATTCTTTATTTGGATCTTCTGGTGAATTAACTGTTTGAAGAGTGTCTGAATCCCCGTCTTTTTTCTCTGGTTCTTCCGAAGAGCGCTCTTGCTTAAAAACCAATGTAGAAGTGTCGCCAACATCTTGCCCCCTTGTTGTATCAGAGCCCCATGACTGCGTTTCAACGACGGGCGTATCCGCTGCCCTTTCGTTGGGCAACTGGTGACTCTGATCCTTTGCCTCATCTCCTTGCAAAACTTTTTTTTCGGATTCACTTTGCGAGGTAGATGAAAGACTGACACTGGTCTCCGTGCCAACACGGGGGTCAGGTGACGAATCACCACCAGGAGTGACAGGCCCCGAAGGATTACCTCCACCACCGGAAGCACCAGCAGGAGGAGGGAAACCAGCACCAGGTACAGAACCAGCTTGACTGCTGCCAGGAGCACCTTGTCCAGCAGAATTTACACCGCTTCCACCACCACCTCCTCCTGGAGTGATGTCGGGACCCGCATCTTCTTCAGAATCTTCGGCTTGTATGGCAGGAATGGGCAACGCTGGACGCAAAGAGAGCGTCGGCGCGTTTTTATCACATCCGCTCGCCAAATACGATGTTTTCTTTCCAAACCCTCCCGGCACCATACAGACACCCTGTGCGTTGTTGAGAGTGTCCCTCGCATAAACCCCACCGGCACCGCACCACAGCACGCAGAGAGCACACACCAGCAGCACACGGCCAGTCATCATCATCGCCATCACTCCTGTCACTTGCGTTTAGCCTTCAGCACAAACTAACTCCCCGTCAACGCCGAGTGAAAGGAAAAAAGGAGAGACAAGCCACACAACCACACACCGTAGCAAATGACAGAAGTCCTGCAGATGCACGCACGTCGACCTGCAAACCAGAAGTAAGAAAGCAATACCAAAACAAAACAAAAAAAGTAGTTGAGTGTCCAACAGGAGTCCCTCCGCAAAAAAAAAAAAAAACACACACACATCAGCAGAATTAACATTTCATACGCCATGCAGCTCAGCAGGTCTGTGTTTTTGTATAAATATTGCCTGCATGAGAAAAAAAATTTTACTGTTCCACCAGCCCACACAACACTCTCCACAATTCATTGCGGCATCCGGCCTGTTCCTCCAATCCTCCTTTCGTGCAGTCCGTGGGACGCACTGCAATGAGGCCGGCACCGCGTGTGGGCAACAAAAAAAAAAAAACAAGAAGGAGAAGCACGTCACACACGACAGTGTGCAGCAACCGAACATTACGTAAATAAACGGTGCTTATCATTCCAGGAAAACAACAGCAAAAAACAACACTAACAAAAGTAGAAGGCAAGCCCGCAGAAAACGCGGCACATATTCTCCGTGAGAAATCGCAAATCCACACTCCGTGTCTCAGAAGACTGCCACAACTCCACACAGTCCCAAAAGGAGAAGCAGCAGTGGTTTTTCCACACACAAGATGATAATTTCGCTGCTGTCCACCGTCGGCAAGGAGATGTCACCTTCGAACAAGATTCCTCTGCTCGCTTAGATCTTCTTTTTTAAAGCAGATGTGCTCTGTGTGGCGCTGCTGCACGCACCGCTGTTTGTCGGCTCCTTGGCGGCGGGGCGGGTGCCCGAAGACCACGGATACTGTCCCATTGCTGCACACATCGGCGGTATTGGGCGTCGTGAGGTCAGGAGTCAAAATATTCCTCCATTCCTACGGAATTATTCGTGCCATCGCAATCCGAGAAGCTCCTCGCCGCAAAATCGCAGAATATCGCATTGAAAGCCTCCTCTTCCGTTAGATCTCGACTGTCTTGTTTCTTATCAGTACGACACGCAGTCCAGCTGCTCTCGCCGACTGGGCGCCAGTGCACACTGGGATCTTTGCTTCCACACAACAACTCCGTCTCCACACACGCCACACAATCATCATCGTTTTCCGCGTACACGTGCGAGCAGCAGTAGTAGTAGTAGTAGTAGAGTTGCTGAATTCGGTGAACAAATCTGCGCACAGAGCGGAGAATAGAAAGGCAAAAAGAAAATAGAAAGAGGTGCAGCAAAAAGACACACACACATCGTCGCAGCGTCGCTGTTGCGTGCGCGGTAATGATGCGACCTCCCGCGGCAGATACAACTCGAACGCTGCACGCATTGCAAAACGGGATCCACACACGAAATACACACACACAACGACAGAACAGCCACCAAAAAGTAGAAGGAGGAGAGAACCACAACCATCTCCCCCTACTTGCACAACAAACGGCCCTCCACTTTTTAAGCAATATAGTTTCTGCAAGCTCGCCATCGTTCCGCTCCACGCTCTCAGCGCCCACAGTGGGAGTCAGCACATCGTACAGGTGAAAAACGAAACCTGTCTCACTCCCGTCGGGAAAAACAAAAGTACCGTGACGACAACAACAACGGTACAAGGGTGTCGCATCGGATAATACGATGGCGTTGTTGGCGTCCAGATCAATGACGCGTACCCTCGGAAATACGCGTGGAAGATATGGCACGTAAGACTGCAGAGTTGCGTCCTCAGATAAACGGTATTCGGAGCCAGCCCTCTCTTTCTTGATGGAAAAAATGGGTCAAGAATGTCGTTAGAGAGGCAACAGTGCAGAAGGCAGAGAGGGTAAAGTCCCGCACACGGGACCCAAATATTCGACTGTCTCGTCCCTGGAAAAGTACAACCAACTTGGCCAGGGCTATCTCGCTCTCTGGCGATGGCACATTCAAAAAAAAAAAAAAAGACTCACAGTATTGAGGGGACTCGAAAAAGCCCCAATGTGCGTGCTGCGGCTCCACGAGGATGTGGACGGTCTGCATGTGTCCATGCAATTCACAGTCGATAGGCGCATTATAGGGGATACTGCTTGAGTGCACCAAACGACGGTTACTTGCCTCATGCCACATCACAGGCAGGCCGTCCCTCATCAATCCCTGCAGGATTCGCCTACACTCCTCCAAGGAGTACTGGGGGCATCCGTTGTGCTGCACGCGGATTGCACCATCTTCCACAAAGACTTCATTCACTAAAAGGCCGCGGTTAAACAGCCTTTCCACAATAATCCTCAAAGGACCGCCACCCACCGCGTGCTGAGGTGGAAAACGCACGCGATGAATACGTCTCCGGTAGGTTTCATCGTGAATACACAACCGCTATTCCCTCCGTCACAGCGTCATCATCAACACAGCAAAAACGCGCCAGTGCCGGCTCTGTTGGGTACAATGGGAGAGAAACTCCCAATCTCCATGCCATGATGTCAACAAGAGAGTCAGACGGCTGCTCTGCCATGGCGATAACGTGTCCCATCAGGCGCAGCAGAATATCAGAGTCAAGCTGATTGGAAGGCTCGGCTGTCACCCCACCAATGAAAGAAATGCGCGGCACCACGCGATGCTCCGCTGGCAGTCCGCCTCCATATTTTTTTCCCTCAGTAACGGACTCTGCGTCAGCACTCTCACCACACTGGTAGGTCTGAATTGTTATCCTGCACGGCACGAGTTGCTGCCACCGCCCGCTCCTCCCCTGTTTGCACACCACCCATCCTGACACGGTAGCCGCAAGTGAGGCAAACTTCGGTTTGCTCCGCCTGAAATTCCCCCGGCATCTGCTCAATTCACCGCCATGGAAAACCGGCGATGTGCAGCGGCGGAGCATTTGATCGTTTCAGCAAACAAATTGGAGAAAAAGGCTCAAACAAACCCACAAGACTCCCAGCAAGAAAAGGTACACACGGCATGACTGACACGACTCAGAGTCATGTTTCTAAGACAATGCGTGGATGACTCTGTCGACGCCACACCCGCACCATATGCCATTAACTCCTCCACGGCAATAACCCTGCAGAGTGCGGAGAGGACGTTTCACGAGCGCATTATTGGCGGAGCCAAAAAACTGTACCGTCAGCAGATGGCAGCGGTCGGCGGGGGAAAGTGAAGGTGGTGGGACTGTTGGGGAGGGTCGATGCGCAGTGTCCCCCACAAATACGAGGCGGGTGAAGTGAAACACACTCGTCTGAACGTCACCGGCCACCAAGATGCATTGCTCCCTGCTGTAAATATTGATGAGCTCGAGCCTGGAGCAACTACTCGCAATGCGTGAAAGTGTCTTCCTGCACTGACGCTGCGATTCACATTAGACGGGCAACTTCAGAACAGTCGATACCCAGCAGTAAAATGCAGGTGGCAGTGACGCTGTGGATTCTCGATTCCCCCGGCAACGGAGGGCGGAGAAGAAAACTGGTCTCCCCAGCTGCGCGGCATCCATCCATTCACTCTGTGCGTCCGGAGTGCCCCACAGCTGCATTGAGAGATGCAGCGGACAGACCTCCCTTATTTTCGCCTCGATCCGTCAACGAAGACTTTCGCGGAGGCGTCGGCACACACCGAAGTCTCCCTCGTGCCCACCAAACAAAAGACACACGCGTTGAGCATCGTCACGTGCATCGATGGCCACGCAAATAAATATCCACCGCAACGCAAAGTGTTTCTTATTGGGCACCAAAAGAAAACTGGAGGCGGCGGCCTGGACAACACAGACATCAAATCACACGCCAGGCAACCCTGAAATACATGCGAAAGGGCCAACGCGGGACCAGCAGCACAACCATTCGAGAGCTGCTGCGTGAACTCCACGGCAAATGGATCAGCCTCAACGCATGGGCACTAATTACGGTAGGTGACAGCGCGAAAGCCAACGGTTCCGCAAGGCCGGGGATTGTGAAGACGGCATTCAAACCCTCCTGGGATTCGTGTACAAAGACACGCAAATAATCCGCCCCTCGGTGCAAGTCGTCACCATAATCCTCATCGCTCTATTTGCCGTCATTCGTATTGTCACACTCAGAGCCGTTGAGGGAAGATGCTGTCATGATGATTGTGACATCACACTGAATGAAACAACACAATGCCTCGAAGGGCGCCGAGTGCAGACATCTCGTCAGGCGGCGACACGGCGCATTCTTGGCAATGTACGAAGCAAAGGCAACAAAACAGCTTTCATCCGCCATCGTAATCGCGTCCAGCAGGTTCGCCCTCTTGTCCCTCGGCGCCTCGACCTTCTCCGCAGCACCAACAGCCGCTGCCGTAGACCACGCTGCTGCCGCAATCACTCCCACAGAGAGACAAGGAAGAGTGTGTGGAAGTGTGTGCCGAGAACACAGCGACTGTCATCGCCAGAGGAGGCCATCGTGGCACCGTCCGTCACGCGCCAGCACACACCGAGCAAAGCACACTCGGCAGTGCAAATACATTCTTGCAGAGCACTGTGCAAGTACTTATGCGTGTGCTGGAGAAACAGAAAAGAGGAGGAGCACAGGGAGGCAGATCAACAGGAGGCACAGCTGGATGGCAGCGATACATGCGGTGCGGCCTCAACCTCAACAATCACGCACGGTGGCAGCACACGCAAAGCAAAAACAAAAAAAACACGGCGGCAGGGTGTGGCTGTGTGTGTGTGGCGCTGCGGATGTCTGCCCGCCCTGGCCGCAAAGAAAACAAAACAAGAGGGAAAGAAATGTGTGCTCCGCCCCACAGGCCCTCGTCGCACGCCCACACGTCACGGCTCCCTCAGCGCGCCGTTCGTCGCGGCCCCTCCTCATGCGTGCAGCAGGCGAGGCGCACAGGGCCGTCGTCATGGGCGTGTCGGTGGGTGTGCAAGTGGAGCAGTTGGGCGGGAAACACACGGCACCCCTCACAGGAAGAGTGCAGCAAAAAACAATTAAAAGAGGGAAGAGTAGAAAAGAAAAAAGAACGTCCATAGTGATTGCCCCCAAAAGCAAAAAAAAAAAAAAAAAAAAAAAAAAAAGAGGGATTAGAGATTAAAAACGCACAAATTAATAACAAAAAAAAAAAAGTAGCAAAAAATTATAAAGCAAACAGAAAAAAAATTAAAGAAATTAAAAAAGGAAAAAAACAAAACAAGAAGCCGAACCGTGGGACGACCAGCGCACACACTCTCATTGCTCCCGTAAAGCAAAACACACACACAGGGAGAGAGAGAGAGAGAGAGAGGTCGCCCACTCAATGCAATAAAAACAAAACAGAAACAGTTACGGTGCTCCGCCCATGCAGCCAGGCAGGACGGCAGCGGTGCGTGTCGTGCAAAAGAGAGCAGCAACGGGCCTGCATGGGTGTGCATGCAATACATACAATGGGCACATTATGTGTGTGCTTCGTGGGGTGAGGTGAGGGCGAGAGTCCATGCAAGGGAACACACACACAGAGTGAGTGAAGGACGAGTGTGTGTGCGGGCGGTGCACGGCTCTCTCTCCCTCACTCTCACGCGGCCACCACCGCAGCAGCAGCCGCACACGCAACAACAAGAAGAAGCAAAAGAGGGGAGGTGGTGTGAGAGAGCGCGCTGCTGTCGCTGTCGCCAGGTGTCGCCGTACCTTTTGTTTGAGCTGTAGTTGTTGCTGCTAGGCTTTCTCCTGGTGTTGAATCTGCCGGTGGTGGCAATCGTTCTGCAGTTGGTTTTTCTGCCGGCGCTCCCGTTACTGTCGCCGTTGGTGGTACTGGTGGTGCTGGCAGTTGTGGTTGAGGTGTTGTTGGTGCGTTGCTGGTGGTGGTCGATACGCCGGAAGAGCCTTTCGTCCCCATGGCACTCTGCCCCGCGGCGCTTGGAGCTGCATCCCCATCAGCAGTTTGACCCGTTTCATTTTCTTGTGTATCAGAGGAGTGCCGTTGTGCATCGGGTGTTGACCTCTCCGGTGTCTCCCTGTTGAGCGGTGCGTTCCCTGAAGATGTTGTTGGCCTTGACTGCTCATTGTTTTTTAGAGATGTCGTGTCCTGGGTGGATGGTGCACCGCCATTATTCCGTGAAGCGTCTCCATCGTTGGAAATGGGAGATGAAGAAGCACCACCGGAAGGTGGCCCGGAAACGGGACCTTCACTTCCTTTAGGATCTTTATTTTTATCACCAGTAACACGAGAAGTGTCACTAGCACCAACAAGACTGCCATCACTAACATTTCGACCGGTACCTTCAATCCCAACGGGACCACCATCGCCTTCACCGACACCGGATGCTTGTGATGGTGATGTTGCTTGTGGTTCTTCTCCTGCTGGCGTCGGTGGTGGTGATGTTTGTGGTAGTGTTACTTTATCCTTTGTTCGAGATATGTGTGTTACCGGTAATTCATTACCTTCTTCTTGTACTCCTTTCTTCCCAACATTCTCTGTTGGTGGTTCGTTAGCCAAGTTCCCTTGCTCATTGACGTTATTTCCTGATCGTGTATCCAACGAGTGATCCGCGGACCCTAAGCCCTCATCGACTGACTTCGATAATTCCGGTTTTGCTGCTTTTTCGTCTCTAGAATCAGACTTTGAACCTCCCAATGGACCCTCCTTTACTCCGCCATCGCCATCACCACCGGCAGACGACACCACCACCGCAGCACCGCACCACAGCACGCAGAGAGCACACACCAGCAGCACACGGCCAGTCATCATCATCGCCATCATCACTGCTGTCACTTGCGTGTAGCCTTCAGCACAAACTAACTCCCCGCCAACGCAGAGCAAAATAAAAGGAGAGACACGGCCGCTACACCACACAAAGCCACCGCACAGACACAAATGGCAGCAGTCCAGCAACGGCAGCGCATGCGCCATGAGGCAGTTGGAATCAGTGGGAAGGAAAAAAACACACACAACGCCCCGTAGCAAGTAAACAGAAAAAACACACGAAGCAATTAAAAACAAAACACAGGTAAACAAACAGCAATAAAGTAAAAAAAAATTAAAAACACACAACAAAACAGCTGCACAGTATGGCTCCAGTGCGCATGCAACAGCACCCAAAAATGCGTCCACGCAAACAGTTGTATGCCTGTTTTGCATATGGGTGTGTCTGGGACGCATTCAACGTGACGGATACAGGGAGCAGCAAAATGGAGCACACAGCAGGGCAGCTGAAGCAAATGAAGCAAAACACAATCATTATTTTCTCATTTATTTATTTACATCGGACCACAGTAGACGCACACATGTCCCCGTGGTTGAGTGCTGGCACGCACAGCCCACAATACACCTCTTCAGCCCAGAGTGGTGTACGCCAGCGCGGATGCGGCGAGCAGCAGCGGGGCACACACCCACGCAAAGGTGCTGAGGCTGCCGTCGGTTTCGCGAAGACGTGACGGTGCGCGGGTGGTCGTCGAAGTTGGCGCCTCGGTATTCGTAGTACTTGATGCCTCTGGCGCAGTGGTTGTATTGGTCGTGGTCGTAGTGTTCGTAGTGTTCGCAGTCGTCGTAATCGTCGTGGTGGTGGTTGGTGTCTTTGTTGTAGTCGTACTGGTCGTCGTGGAAGGATTTTCGTATTTCTTATCCGTATTTTCTGTGGATGTATTCTTGTCAGCTTCTGTCCCTGTCGTACCGTTCTTGCCTTTTTTCTCTGTCGCAGCGGCTGCCTCATCCGATTTTGGCAACTTATCGGTTAAACGTTGTCCCGCTCTGGTATTTTTTCCCTGTTCGGCTCCAGACTCTGTAACTGGCAACCCTGACAGAACGGTTTCCTCATGTGGTGACTCTACTGCAGTGGCCAATTGATCGGCGCCTCTTCCACCAGCTTCATCAACATCCTCAGTAACGTCAGGGGGTTCAGTATCAGTATCTGCCTCGCACACGGACGGGCAGCAGCACAGGGCAAGCACCAACAGGGCGCACAGCAGACGGCACGTCATCATCGTGAGTGTGGTCGTTCAGTGGTGTGGAGCTGATCTGCACAGTGAGGGACATGGAGAGCAACAGGGGAGACGAGAGGTGCGACAGGCACACACACAGAGGGCACACCACACGAGGAGAGGGCAGCAGCCAGGCATGCACCGTACGCCGCACACCACGCACGACACACACTCCAATCCACGGCAGCAGGCACACACAAACACACACACACACACAGCCCTGCCGCAACACCAACACACAGATGGAAGAGGGAGAAGCAAACAGGAGCGGCACACAAGGCTCCACCGCATGCACATACGGCGAGAGCGGTCCGTCGTGTCGGCACCCCTCACGGAGGGTACGCACACACAAAAAAGGAGGTGCAGCGCACACAGCAACACAAAAGCAAAGTAACAAAAAAAAGAGGATCCCCGCACATCACGTGGATTGTTGGTCCACGGGAAGTGCAGCCAATATCCATCACAAAATCAATTCAGTTGCCCTCGGCCTTCGTTCATATTCAGCGCACTCCACTTCATGCAGGCACGGCAAATACTGCATCAGCAGCCGCACGCTCAAAAATAAGTGCAGGAAACGGAATAATGCAAGCAACCATTCATTTGTGTTTCTGTTTGAATGTTGGCAGATGCCTGCATACTTTTTTTCTTTGTCTTGCGGAGGGTACACCTTCATGCCTGGGTCGTGTGTTGGGGATTTCTGCAGGGTGCACAATTATTTGTTTTCTACTCTTTTAAATGTTTCTTGTGTTGGTGCAGCCAAGAATTCGGTTTGTGTTGTTCCTGCCTTTCGCCGGTAAAGTGTTGCAATAGATGCTTTTGTTTTCCTTTCGTTGCTGTGGCTCCTGATTCCTCACCGTTTATTGCGGTGGAAATGAAAATATGTGAGTGGACTCCCACACACCAGAACGCACCTTCGCTCCTATTTATTGGTGCATGGAAGGGCATGTGTGTGTTTGGTGGTGTCTCGTCCATATATTTTGTGGGTGCACATTCCCCTGCAGGCTGAGGGCGGGGTGACGCTCCGTCGCGGTGCACTTCCCTCGCATGCCGCCCACTGTGATTCATCATGCATCGCCTCCTCTCACATACTCCTTGGTGCCACACCGCTGATATTATTGCAGCCACTGTGATCCCGCATACTTCACGCATTTGATTGTGCCACAATACATCCGCTCGTGTGGCCGCCGCATCCAAACAGCGGTGCCCAACACCGTGAGCGGTAGTCCACATCCTTGCATGTCCCAACGCAGTGGTGCTTGACCGTCAACCAGGCGCCGGACAACAACAGAGTCTTGTGCTGGCAGTACAACACACGGAGCTGCAGCGAATGGCTCGGGCGGCGACGCATCTTTTCGTCGCAAAGCAGTGAAAAGGAGTCGGGCAAAATAATGCCGGCTGCACTCACGACACCACATCCACAGCCAAAGCATGCGACGTGATGTGTGTTTCACTGGTGCTTTGAAATGCCTGCAGACGACGTCACTAGTGGAGGCACGCCACCCATGATCAGCGGACAGACAATAATCGGCATGGGAGACCACAAAAGGCAGCAACGACGCCAGCAGCAGGAGCAGCTCTCTCTCTCTCTTTGTTGCCTCCGAGAAGTAAATATTCCACCAGCCACAGCCGACTGTGCCATCGTGACACTCCATGCACGTCGTGGCTGCGTCAACACATCCTGTTCCCTGCTGCGCCTCAAAAGATGCCTCACTCCGTCCACTAAGTGCATCGATGCGGGCCGTGCCTCGGCTGTTCGTGAGGACCACAACGATGTGAGGGTCACCGAGTCGCAGCATGTTTGTTGTGACGTTGTTGCATGGCACCTGCACACACACACGCAGCGCCTGCATCCCTCCTTTTTGTGTCCGTCCTCTGCCGGAGTGGCCACACACACGGGCAGCAGCAAAATCACTCCACCCTCGACGATCCAAAGTCAACACCGACATCCCTCGCGACGCAAACATCTCAGTTGCCAGCACGAGCTTCCTGCCGCCCTGCCATCGACGCTAAAACACGGCACAGTGCACGCACTTATTTTCCTCGTGTGCAGTCAGCCGTTTGCTTCACACATTCTTCGATGGGCTGACGCCCACAAAAGCACGCCACAAAAGGCCACCGTGATCGCACACGCTCTTGCGATGAGCGTCGGTGTGTGCATGGATCCGCTGCTCACACGTGCTGGCAGGCAGCCTGCAGCCGGTGCCCTCGTGCCAGTTCATCGGCTCCAGCACGGAAAAGAGAAAACGGCCCATTCCCGATGCACTTATTCCCACCAGCAGCACCAACACGCTGGTCGCAAGCCGTCATTCCTCAGCACATCCAGGAATGCTGAAAAGTGACGTGGAGCTGTCAGCCAGCAATGCCACAATCCCCGCACACATGTCGGCTCCACCAGAGAAGACACACAAATCACAAACAACACCCTTCACATGTCATCCGAACATCATTCCGACACACCGCGACACGCCAAACAGAAGTATTCGTCACCCCAATGCACCTCCCCACACAATCACATAGTCCACGCACCACGCACGGCAGCAGCTCACACGCGGTCAAACAAATGTTCTTCGGATCAGTGTTATCCACGTGCTGCGGTGGGAAGTAAACAAAAGAGACGAGCTGCCAAACCCCAAAAGAGTGCCACGACTGGCCGCAACTCAACGGAACGCAGCCACTCAAATGAATTCAGTCCCAATACCCTCAACCTCCCACCTTCCCCCACAAAAGCTGCAAAAGATTGAAAACAAACGCACCGTCCAATAAATTCTTTGTGCAACACCAAAAGAGGCCGCAGTGCCTTATGCTGTCCTCACAGTAAGTTGTTGACGCCTTCACGGGGACAGACGCCCATTGGCTATTTAAAAAGACGTGCTACACCTGCGACGCATCTCCTGCGCTTTGAGGCGCACGTGCCTCACTACCACCAGAGACGCCCACGCACCGTCTGTACGCAACAAATCGTCAAGGAACGAAGGATACGTCAGGCTGACAGCAAGACATCCGCCGACAAATCACATCGCAGACATCATCACAAACACCAGCAGCGCCAAAAGACCGCAGAGTAAAGTAACGTCGATCAACGGACGCATGGCGTATGTCAACGAAAAAACTTGGTGGCGTGACAGGGATACAAGAGGCTGACACTCTCTCAACAAGAAAGGAACAGCATCATAATACAAAAAGACAATTTAGGCGTCCACAGTCGAAGCAAACCTCCGATCAAAAAGGAGGAATGCATGCACGCACCCGCAACACAAGCAAACCAACAAAAATGCCAAAGCATGAGACGACCAGCGCACACACTCTCATTGCTCCCGTAAAGCAAAACACACACACACAGAGAGAGAAGGACGAGTGTGTGTGCGGGCGGTGCACGGCTCTCTCTCCCTCACTCTCACGCGGCCACCACCGCAGCAGCAGCCGCACACGCAACAACAACAAGAAGAAGCAAAAGAGGGGAGGTGGTGTGGGAGACCGCGGTGCTGCCGTCACTGTCGTCTGTTGCTGCCGTGCTGTTCAGGTTAGGGTCTTTGGCTGCAACGTTTTTTTTTCGGTTGGCTCTTCTTTCTCTTTGGCTTCTTCTTGTGTTTCTGCTGCCTTATCCACTTCATTTTCATTTTCTTGCCTTGTGTTCTCTGCCTCATTGTGGGCATTGTCCTTTACGGCGGTTTGCCTTCCGTCAAAATTTTCATTTGTTGTTGCTTTTACTGAATATTCCTCTTCTTTTGGTACCTCTTTTCTGTTGTGTGCCTCCGTTTCCGCGGCAGGTGTTTCTGGATTTGATTTTGCTCCAACGGTTGTCTGTTCTTTTCCTGCATCTTCTGGCTGCGTCTTTTTTCCCGGGGTTCCTGTTTCTGTTTCGGCTGCATCTTCTTCGGTACTTAATTCTGCTGTTAAATTCTCTGCCTGTGATGGTCCTTCTGCTTCTTGCGTTTGCGTTCTGCCGGCGTCTCCTTTTCCCCCAGTGTCGTCATCATTCTTTTTCTCAATACTTTGAAGATCCGTAACGTCAACAGGGGAAGCAGGCTGAAGGACTACAGGTGCGTCAGGGGATTTACCGTCGGTATCACCACCCCCATTCACTTCTCTTCCTTTTTTACTGCTTCCTGCATCTCCTTCCTTCTGTCCTTCACCCTCTTTGTGATCCGTGCCATCAGCTGAATCTTCAGTGTCTTCATCATCTTTCCCGGGGTCGTCAGGTTCGTCCCTTTTCTTCTCTTCAGCCTTTTGCTTTTTTTTCTCTTCCAATTCTTTTTGCACTTCTTTTTGTTCTTCTTCTGGTTTCACGATTTCTTCTTGAACTTGCAGCGTGACTCCGTTATTTTCTTCCCGACCTCCATTTGAATTCCCGATGGCTGCATTGTCAACTTGGTTTTCACCATTGGTACTGTTAGGGCCTTTCGTTTCTACAGTCGGATTTTCCTCTTCGTCTTTTTCGTTTGATGTCCCTCCACTTTTGTCTTTCGTCTTCTCAAGAGACTCTGCGGGTTTCGGTAAATTCTCTCCTCCTGGTGTTGTATCTGCCTGTCCTGGCTCTGGAAGGACCGGTGATTTCACGTGTGACTCTGCACGCGAACCAGCACCAGTCCCTGACTGATCCTCTGGGGAAGATCCGGAATTTCTGTCAGCCTCACCAGAATCAACATCACCATCAGCAGCAGCAGCAGCCACGGCAAACTGTTGACGCCTCTAACGGCTACGGCCATCCACAACGGCACGCACACCGTCCATCCCCTGACGGAGGCATTCCTTCACGGCAGACGCATTCGCACCGCCTCCTGTCCTCCTGCTGACCTCCTCCGCGCATTCCCTCCGCAGCTGAGCGCGCCGTCCAGTGATCAAATACTCAACCGCACTGCCATCGGCACCGCCAGCATCATCGGCCGCAATTCCAGATAAAACACACCACAGCACGCAGAGGGCACACACCAGCAGCACACGGCCAGTCATCATCATCGCCATCACTCCTGTCACTTGCGTTTAGCCTTCAGCACAAACTAACAACACGTCAACACAGAGTGAAAGCAAAAGAAGAGACACGGCACAGTAAAAAACGCCAGCGGCAGCAGCATGCATTTCATGAGAAACATTGAACCGATGAAGGCGCCAAAAATAAAAATAAAAAAACAAACGAAACACAACACCCCGCAATAATTTGACAAGAAAAACACGCAAAACAAACAAAAAGAAGAAAAAAGAGTAAACAAACAGCAATAAATTAAAGCAGTAAAAACACACAAAACCTGCGCCCAAAGGGCTCCAGTGTGCATGCACCCTCTCTCAACAGTGCGTCCACGCAAACAGTTGTACGCGTGTCGTGCATATGAGTGTGTCTGGTACGCGTTCCACGTGACGGATACAGGGAGCAGCAACGCGGAACACACAGCAGGGCAGCGAAAGCAAGTAAAGCAAAACACAATCATTATTTTCTCTTATTTAGTTACATCGGACCAAAACAGACGCGCACAAATCCCCGCGGTTGAGTGCTGGCACACACAGCACGCACACACCTCTTCAGCCCACAGCGGTGTACGCCAGCGCGGATGCGGCGAGCAGCAGCGGGGCACACACCCACGCAGAGCTGCTGAGGCTTCCGTCAATTTCGCGAAGACGTGACGGTGCGCGGGTGGTCGTCGTGGTTGGCGCCTCTGTGGTAGTCGTCGTACTTGGTGCCACTGGCGCAGTGGTCGTCGTCGTTGTCGTCGCGGCAGGATCTTCACCGTTCTGATCTGTTTGATCTGCGGACCTATTTGTGCTACCTTGTGGCCCTGTCGTATCGTTATTATCATGTTTCTGTGACTTATCGGCCGCACCATCTGATTGCGTTTCCGAACCGCTCGTACCTCTTACATCCCCGTCAACATCTTGCAGTTCCGCAGCGGAAACCACATCTTGCAGCCCTGACTGACCGGTCGTCGTGGCTGGTGGATTGGACGGTGGGCTTGGGGCGCTTAAAGTAACATCAGAAGATTGAACTTTTTCAGGATCCTGCGCAAAGCATAAGAAAGGGCAGCAGCACAGGGCGAGCACCAACAGGGCGCACAGCAGACGGCACGTCGTCATCATCGTGAGTGTGGTCGTTCAGTGGTGTGGAGCTGATCTGCACAGTGAGGGACATGGAGAGCAACAGGGGAGACGAGAGGTGCGGCAGACAGACACAGAGGGCACACCACATGAGGAGAGGGCAGCAGCCAGGCATGCACCGTACGCCGCACACCACGCACGACACACACTCCAATCCACGGCAGCAGGCACACACACACAAACACACACACACAGCCCTGCCGCAACACCAACACACAGATGGAAGAGGGAGAAGCAAACAGGAGCGGCACACAAGGCTCCACCGCATGCACATACGGCGGGAGCGGTCCGTCGTGTTCGCACCCCTCACGGAGGATACACACACACAAGAGGAGGTGCAGCGCACACAGCAACACAAAAGCAAAGTAACAATAAAAAAAGGAGATCCCCACACACCACGTGGATTGTTGGTCCACGGGAAGTGCAGCCAATATTCATCACAAAAACAGTTCAGTTGCCCTCGGCCTTCGTTCATATTCAGCGCACTCCACTTCATGCAGGCACGGCAAATACTGCATCAGCAGCCGCACGCTCAAAAATAAGCGCGGGAATGGAATAAAGCAGTCAACCGTTTATTTGTGTTTCTGTTTGAATGTTGGCAGATGTCTGCATGCGTTTTGTTTTTTCTTTGCGGAGGGCAAACCTTCATGCCTGGATCGTGTGTTGGGGATTTCTGCAGGGTACACAATTTGTTTTCTTTCCTCTTGTGAATGTTGCTTGTGTTGGTGCAGCCAAGAATTCGGTTTGTGTTGTTCCTGCCTTTCGCCGGTAAAGTGTTGCAATAGATGCTTTTGTTTTCCTTTCGTTGCTGTGGCACCTGATTCCTCACCGCAATAAACGGTGGAAATGAAAATATGTGAGTGGACTCCCACACACCAGAACGCACCTTCGCTCCTATTTATTGGTGCATGGAAGGGCATGCGTGTGTTTGGTGGTGTCTCGTCCATATATTTTGTGGGTGTACATTCCCCTGCAGGCTGAGGGCGGGATGACGCTCCGTCGCGGTGCACTTCCGTCGCATGCCGCCCACTGTGATTCATCATGCATCGCCTCCTCACACATATTCCGTGGTGCCACACCGCTGATATTATTGCAGCCACTGTGATCCCGCATACTTCGCGCATTTGATTGTGCCACAATACATCCGCTCGTGTGGCCGCCGCATCCAAACAGCGGTGCCCAACACCGTGAGCGGTAGTCCACATCCTTGCATGTCCCAACGCAGTGGTGCTTGACCGTCAACCAGGCGCCGGACAACAACAGAGTCTTGTGCTGGCAGTACAACACACGGAGCTGCAGCGAATGGCTCGGGCGGCGACGCATCTTTTCGTCGCAAAGCAGTGAAAAGGAGTCGGGCAAAATAATGCCGGCTGCACTCACGACACCACATCCACAGCCAAAGCATGCGACGTGATGTGTGTTTCACTGGTGCTGTGAAATGCCTGCAGACGACGTCACTAGTGGAGGCATGCCACCCATGATCAGCGGACAGACAATAATCGGCATGGGAGACCACAAAAGGCAGCAACGACGCCAGCAGCAGGAGCAGCTCTCTCTCTCTCTTTGTTGCCTCCGAGAAGTAAATATTCCACCAGCCACAGCCGACTGTGCCATCGTGACACTCCATGCACGTCGTGGCTGCGTCAACACATCCTGTTCCCTGCTGCGCCTCAAAAGATGCCTCACTCCGTCCACTAAGTGCATCGATGCGGGCCGTGCCTCGGCTGTTCGTGAGGACCACAACGATGTGAGGGTCACCGAGTCGCAGCATGTTTGTTGTGACGTTGTTGCATGGCACCTGCACACACACACGCAGCGCCTGCATCCCTCTCTTTTGTGTCCGTCCTCTGCCGGAGTGGCCACACACACGGGCAGCAGCAAAATCATTTCACCCTCGACGATCCAAAATCAACACCGACATCCCTCGCGACGCAAAAAGATCTCAGCTGCCAGCACGAGCTTCCTGCCGCCCTGCCATCGACGCTAAAACACGGCACAGTGCACGCACTTATTTTCCTCGTGTGCAGTCAGCCGTTTGCTTCACACATTCTTCGATGGGCTGATGCCCACAAAAGCACGCCACAAAAGGCCACTGTGATCGCACACGCTCTTGCGATGAGCGTCGGTGTGTGCATGGATCCGCTGCTCACACGTGCTGGCAGGCAGCCTGCAGCCGGTGCCCTCGTGCCAGTTCGTCGGCTCCGGCACGGAAAAGAGAAAACGGCCATTTCCCGATGCACTTATTCCCACCAGCAGCACCAACACGCTGGTCGCCAGCCGTCATTCCTCAGCACATCCAGGAATGCTGAAAAGTGACGTGGAACTGTCAGCCAGCAATGCCACAATCCCCGCACACATTTCGGCTCCACCAGAGAAGACACACAAATCACAAACAACACGCTTCACATGTCATCCGAACATCATTCCAACACACCGCGACACGCCAAACAGAAGTATTCGTCGCTCCAATGCACCTCCCCACACAATCACATAGTCCACGCACCACGCACGGCAGCAGCTCACACCCGTCAAACAAATGTTCTTCGGATCAGTGTTACCCACGTGCTGCGGTGGGAAGTAAACAAAAGAGACGAGCTGCCAAACCCCAAAAGAGTGCCACGAATGGCTGCAACCCAAAGGAACGCAGCCACTCAAATGAATTCAGTTCTAATGCCCTCAACCCTCCACCTTCTCCCACAAAAGCCCCCAAAATTAAAATCAAATGCACTGTTAAATAAAGCCGCCGTGCAACACCAAACAAAGCCGCAGTGCCTCCTGCTGCCATCCGGGCCGTTGTTGTCGCCTTCACGGGGACAGACGCCCATTGGCTATTTAAAACGACGTGCTACACCTGCAACGCATCTCCTGCGCTTTGAGGCGCACGTGCCTCACTATCACCAGAGACGCCCACGCACCGTCGGTACGCACCACATTGTGAAAGAAAAAAGAATACGCCAGAGTGAAAACGAGGCACCCGCTGGCAATCGCGTCGCAGGCATCATCACAGGCAGCACCAAAACCGCTGCAGTCAACTGTGGGGTAACGTGCATCAACTGCCGCATGGCTTATTTGGAATAAAAAACGCGGTGGCTTTACAAGAATACGAGTAGCTGCCACTTCCTCAGCAGGATAAACAATATGAAAACAAAAACAAATATTCAGGCATATGCAGTCAAAGCATGCCGCCAATCAAAAAGGCAGAATGGGTGCACTCAACCACAACACAAGTAAAACATAAAACAAAAACCAAAAAGCCGAAGCGTGGGACGACCAGCGCACACACTCTCACTGCTCCCGTAAAGCAAAACACACACACAGGGAGAGAGAGAGAGAGAGGTCGCCCACTCAAGGCAATAAAAACAAAAAACAAAAACAGTTACGGTGCTCCGCCCATGCAGCCAGGCAGGATGGCAGCGGTGCGTGTCGTGCAAAAGAGAGCACCAACGGGCCTGCATGGGTGTGCATGCATATATACAATGGGCACATTATGTGTGTGCTTCGTGGGGTGAGGTGAGGGCGAGAGTCCATGCAAGGGGACACACACACAGAGAGTGGGTGAAGGACGAGTGTGTGTGCGGGCGGTGCACGGCTCTCTCTCCCTCACTCTCACGCGGCCACCACCGCAGCCGCAGCCGCACACGCAACAACAAGAAGAAGCAAAAGAGGGGAGGTGGTGTGGGAGACCGCGGTGCTGCCGTCACTGCCCTCAGTAGGTGGCGCAACTTTTGCATTGGCGTTGGTCGCTGCTGCCGCTTCTGGACCTCGATGAGAGTCTGTCGGAATACCACCAGTTTCTCCACGACGACGCTCCTCATCGGCCACTGCGGCATCATCCTGCTGAGTATTGCCGAGTGGCGCCTCAGGGTGCTGTTCACTTTGATGAGTAACATTGTCACTTCCAGACCGAGGTGAGGATGACTGAGGGATTTGGCCTTCAGTTCCGGAGCTCGTAACGAGCGTGGTATCAGAGGTTGCTGGAGCCTCTCCTGGCTCTGGCGAATTTTCTATTTCCCCCCCGCTCTGTTTTTCATCCTGTGGTGGCGGACGCATCCCGGACACTTGCGGCTGAGTGGCGAGCGATGTTTCCTGCTTCGCCGATGGTTGTCCTTGTGCCGCAATCTTCCCTTGGCTCCCTGATGTATTGAGGTTTGGTACAGCCAGGTGGTGCACGACCTCCTTTGAATTCGGTTCACGGTGGATGCGGCG